ATTACAAATCTTCATATATATATATATATATACAAGGTGGGTCAAATGTTTGTACACGATTTTTCAACAAAACAACAACAACAAAAAAACGTACAATATCGTTATGAATAAACGATTAATTCATCGTGAATTATATTCAACGTCTCTCTATGACTCCCATTATAAAAACAAAAAGAAAAGAAATACTACTAATGTGGTGTTAAGAATTACAATTGTATATCTACTACTAACAATCGTAATTTTACATAATTGCTAGGCTAACAATAAGGATGCGTTTCCATTAAAAATTCGAAATATATAATTGTGAGAAAAAAAAAAAGAAAAAAGAAGTAATATTTGTGTGTTTGTTAAAATCATTAAAAAATAAACTAACTTTGTTTGTTTTTCTTTTTTCCTTTTCAAGCGTAGTAAAAATAATTAAAGGGATAGATAGGATAGAAAGAAAGAAAGATGGCGGCTACAAACGTTGGAATATAACCAACAAAAATTCGAAATAATTGTGTTAAAAAAGAAACAAAAACAAAAAAAGTAATAAATACAAATTACTGTTTAATCAAATTAAATGAAATATAAAGTATAAATCATCGAGCTGAGGGGTGGGGAGAAAGGTGGGGGGAAAAGAAATTTTCTTTGCCCCTGTAATAAAAATAAACGAAAAAAAGAAAGATGGCGGCGGGAAACGTTGTTGGGGGTATATAAAATGGAAAACATAATTTCGAAATTAATTGTTAAAGAATGTTTTACCTCTGTCTCTTGTGTAAAAATCAAACGAACAATAAAATAAAATAAAATAAAAATAAAATAAAAATAAAAATAAAATAGACTGTGAAACAAGAAAAAATGTGTTTTTTTAGCGTGTGCGCGTGGTATGTGAGAAAAAAAAAAAAAATATAATAAAGAAAGAAGATATGTGTGTGTGTGTGTGTATGTGTAATGGGTGTGTTGGAGAAGCCACCACGGTCAGTTTTGACGTCATTACGCACGCACTTATCGTGCGACAAACGATCACGTTAAACACAACAATTAGATAGAGAAAGAGATAGATGAAATAAAAAATACAAAAAAGAAGAAAAAAAAAAAATATATATATATATATATACAATAAAAGAAGAAAAAAGATAAGAGAAGAGAAGGAAACAAGAAGAAGAAAAAAAAAAAAGATAATATATTGTATAGAAAAAAAAATGGAATGAGAAAGAGAGAATGAAATAAAAAAATTTTGTCAAAGCGCGTGCAAAGAACAGCTGCGTCCGCGCAAACGTACTTACGTACATTGTGTGTGTGTGTGGGGCTTTGTGTGTTTGTAGTACTATACGATAAGAAGAAACAATTTGAAAAAAAGATCTTACAACGTTTCCCTTTTGTTTTTCTTTTTAACCAATATTTCCTCCTCCACCTCCCCATTAACAGCACCCCTCCCCTCCCGTCGTACAAAATCACTTTTTTTTTTCTATTTTGA